CCGGCGGTGGCGGGGTTGGATGGCCCCCGCGGCGGGGGTCCGGGGTCCGCAGCCTCACACCAGCTTTGCCCCCGGGGATCCCCGCTCGACAACGCTGCATGGGGGTAACGAAATGCTGCCAAAATTTGTAAAAAATCCAACACTTAGTTTCTCTTCACTCTCCTTATTTATTTATTTATTTATTACGGCATTTTGAAACTTAGTGTGCTTCTCTTCGTCTCTCCTTCCTCTTGGCACCTTTTTTATCCCATCGGGGGTAGGGAAATGCTTCCGAAAATTCAAAAAAAAATTGTGTTAAACTTCGGACCGTCCGGTGGCCTGATCTTCGTTTGGCAGGGGTCCCGGGTGGCCCGACCGGTTGGGTCCCCTGGTTTAGGGTCGGGCAAGGCCAGCGCAATTTCACGCAGGGGGGGGGAGATACCTTTTTTGGCTACTGGTCATCTCCCCAGCCTCCGACAACACCAGGTAGATTTTTTTTTCTGAATCTACGACAATATACAAGTAGTTTGAGAGGGGGGGGAGCGAGGTTTTTGAATGAGATTAGCCGCCAAGAAATCGTTTCCCCCTCTCGCGGGCTACGATACCGTGTTCGAAATTCGAACGCGGTATTCCCTGTTGCGAAGCCCGTCGTCGTTGCCATCGAGAAACCACCCATCATCACTAGCCCGCCTGTTGTCACTGCGGTCGTGAAGCCCGCCCGTCTTCATCGAGCTGTCTCCATCGAGCTGTCTCCATCGAGCTGCCTCGTCGAGAAGCCCTCCTCGTCGTCGCTGCCCGTGAAGTTGTTGTTGCCATCGTCATGAAACCTCCTCCACTTCTTTCCTTCCTCTTCTTTTTCTTCCTCTCCTCCTCCTCCTCCTCCTCCTCCTCCTCCTCCTCCTCCTTTCCTATTCTTCTCCTCCTCTCCTCCTCCTCCTCCTCCTTTCCTATTCTTCTCCTCTTCTCCTCCTCCTCCTCCTCCTCGTCCCAATTTCGTTGGATTTGTTTATCCGGCGAAGTGCCACGTGGCCACATCAGTGCGCTGAAAAGCGCCACGTGTCGGATAGGCGAGCTTCGGTGAAATCTCGCCGCTAGTTAACCTAGTGATGGGCGGGATTCGTTTCTCTTTCTCTCTCTCTCTCTCTTTCTCTCTCTCTCTCTCTCTCTCTCTCTCTCTCTCTCTCTCTCTTTTTTATTTTATTTTCCGTCATCGCCATACAAAACCCGTAGGTCCTCTTCCTCCTCCTCTTCTCCTCCTCCTCGTCTCGTCTTCTTCTTCCTCTCTCCTCCTCCTCCTCCTTTCGCCTTGTTCTTCTCCTTCTCCTCCTCCTCTCATCTTTTTGTTCTTCTCTCCTCCTCCTCCTCCACCTACTTTTGCCTTCTCATTCTCTCCTCCTCCTCCTCCTCCTCCTCCTTCATCGTCTTTTTTTTTTTTCTTTCGTTGTCCCCATACAGTACCGGCAGGTCCTCCTCCTCCTCCTGCTCTCATCTTCTTCTTCTTCTCTCCTCCTCCTCCTCCTCCTCCTCTTGTCTTCTTCTTCTTCTCCTCCTCCTCCTTTCGTCTTGTCCTCCTCCCCCTCCTCCTCCTCCTCTCGTCTTCTTCTTCTTCTCTCCTCCTCCCCCACATACTTTTTCTTCTCCTTGTCTCCTCCTCCTCCTCCTCCTCCTCAACCTCATTCATCATCGTCTTTATTTTTTCATCATCCACATACAGTACCGGCAGGTCCTCCTCCTCCTGCTGCTCCTCCTCCTCCTCTCGTCTTCTTCTTCTTCTCTCCTTCTCCTCCTCCACATACTTATTTTTCTCCTTCTCTCCCCCTCCTCCTCCTCCTCCTCCTCGACCTCCTTCCTCGTCGTATTTTTTTGTTTTTTTTTCGTCATCCACATACACTACCGGCAGGTCCTCCTCCTCCTCTTGCTCCTTTTTCTCCTCTCGTCTTCTTCTTCTGCTTTGCTCCTCCTCCTCCTCCTCCTCCTGCTCCTCCTCCTGCTCCTCCTCCTCCTCTCGTCTTCTTCTTCTTTCCTCCTCCTTCTCCTCCTCCTTTCGTCTTGTCCTTCTCTCCTCCTCTTCCTCCTCTTGTCTTCTTCTTCTTCTCTCCTCCTCCTCCACCTACTAATTCTTCTCCTTCTCTCCTCCTCCTCTTCCTCCTTCTCGACCTCCGTCGTTGTCTTTTTTTTTCTGTCATCCACATACACTACCAATAGGTCCTCCTCCACCTCCTCCTCCTCCTCCTCGGCCTCCTCCTCCTTTCGTCTTGTCCTTCTCTCCTCCTCCTCCTCCTCCTCTTCCTCCTCCTCCTCCTTTCGTCTCCTCCTCCTTTCGTCTCCTCCTCCTCCTTTCGTCTCCTCGTCCTCCTCACCGTTCTTAGTGTGGTTTTTTTCTTCTTCTCCTTTCTTCTACTTTCTTCTTCTTCTTCTTCTTCTTCTTCTTCTTCTTCTTCTTCTTCTTCGTCCTCCTTCTTCTTCTTCTTCTTCTTCTTCTTCTTCTTCTTCTTCTTCTTCTTCTTCTTTCTCCTCCTCCTGCTCCTCTAATCCCTCCCCTCAACGGACTGGCTGTTGAAACACACCCTTCTAAAAAATTGTCAAACCCCCACCTCCCTCCTCCCCTCAAACTCCTTCCCCCTCCCCGACCACCCCCCCAACACACATGTCTTTCACAAGTTTCTCTGTGGATTTGGGCTCCTCTCAGCGAGTGCAGCCCAACCCCATCTTAAAAAAAAATAATAATAAATTCCTCGGACATTTTTTGGCTCGTCTGGTTTTGTCAGACGGCCCCCCCCCGATTTGTTTGGCCCGGTCCGTCTGGACCGGGTGTCAGCCTAACCCAAAAAAAATTAAATATTCTTTCTCTCTTCACATTTTGCTTACTTATTTTTTTATTTATTTTTATTATTTATTTATTAATTTTATTCATTATTTTTATCTCGAAAATTCATTGTTTATTTATTTTTCTTCCCCCTCCCCTCCATGGTTGCTATTCTCTTTTCTTGATTAGGTCGCCGCTACTCTACCCTAACCCCCCAAACTCTGGTTAGGGTTTTCTTAGGGTTTTTCTAGGGCTTAGGGTTTTCCTAACCCCCCTCCTTTCCCGCCTTCTTCCGTCAGGCACCCTGGACCCGGAAGGCTCCTCTCCCCTCGACCGGATTCGCTCCACCCTCTCACGCGCGACCCGCTGGTTACGGGGCGAGCCGACTCACGACTACCCACTCCGCTCCTGCAGTCCCCTCCCTCTCACCGGTGGTCCACTGTCCCCACACCACAACCTATCTCTTTCCCTATCTCTTTCTCCACCTCCCGCCAGGTCTACCCCCATATGTCCATCACCCACGGACGGGACTACACTTCAGACGATCGTCACAACGCCCTCCACCTCTCAGGTACCCTCCATCTCTCAGGTGCCCACGCACCCGATGGTCCAGGGTTAGACCCCTGTGGACCCAATGGACCTTCATGCCGTTCTTGCGTCCCTCCTTGCACCTTTGCAAACACGAATCGGTGCGCTTGCACCCCTGGAGGGGCAAGTCAATGCGCTCGCCCTTGAAGTTCATTGCCTCACGGGTTCTCCTCATCGCTCTGCCCTCCGCTCTCACACTCCATCCCCTACCGGCTCACAGTCCGTCTCCCCACGACTCCAGACACGGAGATGTGGTGGTTCGTCCTCTCCCGCAGGTCAGGCCCAACACTCCCTTTCCGTTGTGGTGAGTGTAGTCGCTGCTTAGACCATACCATATGTTGCGACACACCTGTTGGCCTCTGCCGCCCCTGCAACTTCGGCCACTACCGTAGGTGTTGCTGCCAAGGTACCGGTATCTGGTCATGCAATCTCATCTACTCATCCCGGTATGGCTTACAAGCTTCCCGCTTCGGTCCCAAAACTATGGCTCGGAGCCCTCCCTCCTCCCCTCATCTCCTTACTCCCACCTCAGGGTTCCCTAAAATTTATTACCTCGCCTCCCGCTAGGGTACCCTCTCCGCCTCCTCCACCTCCGACCCTGCGCACCCAGCGAGTGGCTACCAGACAGGTCATTGTGGCGCAACTCCAGACGAAGATTCTCACCCTGAGACAACCTCACCCTTCACCTATGAATCCCCCGTGGTCGGGAGGCCGCGGCCATGATTGTCACGATATCGGTCTTCGGCGGTCCGTCACGGCCGAGGGGAGAGGGGGTTGCGGATTGGGGTTCCGGAACCCCAACCCTACCCCTCAACAAAAAAAATGTTATAAAAAACGATTTTCGGGGGGGTGCTTTTTGTTGTCTGAAAAATGGGGGAAAAAAATAGTTTTTAAAAAAATATATTGATTGATTGATTGTTCTTTTGATTGGTTGATTCATTGATTGTTTTTTTTGTTGTTTGATTGATTGATTGATTGGTGGGGGGTGGGGTCCTACCTCCCCTCCCCCCGACACACACACACACACACACACACACACACATGGACACACACATACACACATACACACACACATACACACATACACAAACTAACGCGTTTGATTTTTATTTTTTTATCAATTAAATAATCAATCAACCAATCAATCAATCAATCAATCAATCAACCAATCAATCAATCAACCAATCACTGTGAATCAATCAATCAATCGATCAATCAATCGATCAATCAATCAATCAGCGTGTGATACTATGTGTGTCTATTAAAAACGAAAAAAAAAAAAAATGGGTTTGGTTTTTCAACTTTTTCTTTTCATTATTATCTTCTTTTTTTCCTTTTATATTTACATATGTTGGTAAAAAAAAAATCAAAGAAACATGTGCACCATTTTATCCCACCAATAATCAGAAAAAAACGAAAAAAAAAAGAGTATTTTTTTTTAATCTTTCTTTTGATTTTAATACTTATTTTTTACTTTTCTATTTTTTAAAAATCACAAAAACCATCAAAATCCAAAAAACAAATATGGGGATGTAGGGAATTTCAAACCCTACAACCCCATATTTTGTTATTTGTTTTTGGTTTATTGTTCTACGAATTAAAAACGGCAGGGTTTTTCGGTTGCACTTGGCCCAAGTGGTTGGGTGCCGCGGGCATGATCATGACCGCATGTGGCCAACGGACCTGCAATAATGACCGCGGGTGATACATAGCCCTTTACAAGCTGCTTATCCTTCTTCTTCTTATACCGCCCCTCTCACCTTTGTCTTGCAATCTCGTTTCCCTCAACCTGCTACTTCCCCTCTACCTTCCTACTACCTCGCAACTTTGTCACAGCTGGCTGCAACCATGGCCTCCACCTCTCCTGGACCTTCCACCAGCAGCCCCGACCCACAACCCACCATCACTTCCACCCCTGCACCGGCCCCGACATTTGCTGCCGCAGTGCCGGCCCATCATCCTCTCTCCCCTCGCTGTCAGCACAACGGTCCCCCTCTTGTGTGCCTGTCGGATATACCCGACTACAATGGTACAATCCGTGTGTCGTATTTGTTGCAGGTTGCCACACGTGCGCTGACACTGACAAACACTAGTCAAGACTCGCGGTGCTCTATGATCGTAGCTAAATTGCGAGGCATCACGTTCTCCGCATGGGAGAACTACTGTACCCATCGTACTCGCTCGGGTGAGCCTCCCACTTTCGCGGACTTCACCGGGTTCCTTCATGACCGTTATGACACTCTCCACGACGCAACCGACGCCTAAATTCGCATCACCCAGACGCATTGGCACGGGTCCTCCGCACCAGCAGACCTCGAGCATCACATCCGAGTGTTTCAGGACACCCGCCTCATTTGCATCAAGGCGCTCCCACCTGAGGTCCTTTTGACCAACAGGTTCGTCGTCAGTCTTTCGACTGACTACTGCATCGAGCTCTAGCAACAGATCTTTACCTCCACAGAGCAGGCCTAGCACAAGGTTGCTCGATAGTACCGGAAGATGCAGAGTTGCTTCTTTGACGCCCCATCTTTTTCATGACCCACCGTTGTCACCCAGTCACACGAGACTACTCGCGGTCGATCCTCCTTTGTCGACCGTTTTTGCTGACCAGCTCGGCCTGGAGCGCCATTCTCTCGGCGCTACAGTTCTCTTGAGTATGGCGAGCAGGCCTCCGCCGAGCTTGACCCTACCTTTGGGAACGCCCCCGATGACATCGAGCTTCGGGACATCATCCAGTACCACTTGGATGACGACACTGTCCCGGTGGTCGAGCGCTTGCAGATGGCGATGTCCGCCATGGGCCGTGTATGCAGTCAGGTTGCACAGGCTGGTGCCCGCACGTTTGTGCTCCCTCAGATAGACCTCTCGTAAGGCTTTGTCCCTCCTCGCGGAGCTCTATCCCCTGAGGAGCGCGCCTCTTGAGGCCCGTCACGGTTGCCTTCGTTGCCGTCAGGATGGACACACCTCCTCACGGTGTCTATACTATGCCGCCCTCGATCGACACTGTGTTGACATTCCTCGCGAGCGCCAATCGCAGTCCCAGCTCGGCCTGTCCCATCCCGCTATCCACAGTGTAGTGTACCGCTGAGGCCTCGCACGTAGCTGGTTTTCCGACCCCCGAGTCGTGGTTTGCCCTTTTGGCTACGCCACTAGAGGATCCTCAGAACACGACATACGCAGTTCCCTTTGCCCTGCCGCTTGTCAAGGTATTGTCTGCCCCACAGCAGACCGCCGCATCTAGTCCTTCCCCCTGAGACTTCTGACACGTCGCGCCATTCACACAACTCGTTATAGCTCTCATCTTGCGACTCGCGATGACGTTGTATCATCTGAGACTCCTGGATCTTAGCATTCTCCAAGCTCGCCAGGAGCGACTCACGAGATACGTAAACGTCTTGCGTCATTTTTTCGGTCTGCTCTCTGACCCTTATCGCACCTTCCCCATCATTCCTATCTGCTTGGGAACATCTATGAGGGTGTACCACGCTTTATGAGACGCCGACTTGCAGGGAGATTTCGTTCACCCTTTTGTGGTCGAGGAAGCTCGTCTAGCTACCTCCGGGTCGCACTCTCCTATCTCCGTTACCCTAAGAGATAACAAGACGCAGCGTTTCTTCGATCAGATGGTCCCCGAACTCCACTTTCCTCTCACTCTCTAACCACCAGATAGTACCCAGACGCCTCAGCGCTATCATTCCTCCGCATACTTCGACGTGTTGGAGACTGGGTAAAAGTTAATCCTTGACACTCGTTGGTTTCGTCAATTCCGTGACATAAAGGCCGAATGGGCGACCGAGACTCTCGTTTTCAAAACGAAGTGTGATCAGACCCATCAAGTGCCCTTCATTCGAACCACGGGCAACACCCCTCCCAACCTACCTCCCTAGGACCCTCTCTCCCCTAGGTCCCACCCAGACATCGCTTTTCCTTTTC